TCAAAACCGTTTAACAACAACAAGCAGTTACTGTTTAACTTTCACAATTTGTGTGAGTTTCATTCCACATTACTTGAACTCATCATAAAGAGTAAGATGGGTAAAATATTCTAGGAGAGATGTTCATTTAAAAAAGGGGGGGGGAGAATCTCCCGTGAAATAGATAATTTTGTTTGTTTTTTTAATTTCGCGCAAAGCTACACGAGGGCTATCTGCGCTAGCCGTCCCTAATTTAGCAGTGTAAGACTAGAGGGAAGGCAGTTATTCAGCACCACCCACCGCCAACTCCTGGACTACTCTTTTACCAACGAATAGTGGGATTGACCGTCACATTATAACACCCCCATGGCTGAAAGGGCGAGCATGTTTGGTGGTACGGGGATTCGAACCTGCGACCCGCAGATTGCGAGTCGAGTGCCCTAACCACCTGGCCATGCCGCGCCGAAATAGAGAAAAAGCCAGTCGACAGACCTACAATATCACTTAATGGGTGAAATTACATAGATTTTATTCATACAGAAAATGGAGCTTTTAATAAGCTATAATACACGGATTTCCAATAAGACAAAATATTGTTAAAGGTCTTTTATCACTAATTGAACAACATTGACAGAGTTTTAGTATAACTGTAAATAAAACTGCTAATATATTATTGTAAATTTCATTTACTATTCTTACTGGACAAAGCATGGCTACCTCTATTTTTGTAGGCTTTATACTGACGTGGGACTTTCTTATTGATTGGATGACAACCAGTTACAGTGTATCAGCACGTGACTATACTCTACTGCGGTTAGTTTTCACATGATAAGAGAGAGGCTTTCCCATAGTATTTGCCTTTTCTATTCATTTTTCATTTCTGTTTCCATTTTTTTTGTTGTTGTTGTTAAGCGCAAAGCTACACAATGCCATGCCCACCGCGAGTATCGAAAGCCAATTTTTAGCGTTGTAAACCCTCAAACTTAGCGCTGAGCCACCAGGGGCGTTTCCATACTCACTTCCAATACTGTATTTTATCCTATTTGTAAATAAACATGAAAGTAAGTATTTAGAAGAACTACGGTTCTTAAGAAATCGCTCAGATATATCCAAAGGATTATAATGATTATAATTAATTTTAATAACTGTTAAAAAAAAAGATATTTTAAGGAAAGTAGGACATTGACAACAAGTAATAACAGCAGATAAAGGCTCAAGGAATATCGTTATAGTGGCGACTAGATTAGAAAAATATCGCCACAGATGACTGTTACTGTAGAGAACAAATAAAGTGTTTCCAGAAGATAAGGGATAAATATTGCTACATAAGAAATTGGAAGAAGTAAAAGAGATAGGAGGTAACACTCCAAGGCTGTTACACTAAATATTAAATATAATGTGAAACAAGAGAGACAAAAGGTATATTCATTAAAACTGTCACAGTGGATAAGCATTATTAGTAGAACAGATAAAGAAATAACCGACAGAAAAAGCTGTAACTACAGGCAAGATAAATTCAAGCAGTGGGTTAAACATAATACGTGAAACCAGGAGTGTAATGGAGCCGAAGTGGGACAGTCCCATGGTGCTCAGCGGTTAATAGTTAATATTACTATTATCATATATATATTTTAAATAGTTCCACGTTAGAACTGTGTTAAAAACTATACTGTGATAACAATAATTAATTCTGGAAGCATATTAATAATAACATACAAAATATTTTATTTCCCCAGGAACGCCCACTTTTATTCCATATCAAGTATTAAATGAAGGACACGATTTTCAACCAATCAGAATCGAATCTCAGTATAGCTTTCGTCACTGTTTTATCTAATAAATGTAAGGGCTCTGGTGTGTGTGTATTCGTTAAAAATGGGGATAAGTAGATATTGGGTCATGGCAGGGTTTTAACGTGTACATTGCAATTGAATGTGAACCTAAACATATCACATCAGCCCACGATATGTTAGAATCGTTCTCAACTGTCCCAAACAATGTTGCCAAATAAACGTACAAAAAAAGAACACCTACAAAAACGAGTATAACAAAAATAATAACAATAATTTATTAAATACATTTTGTAATAACGAAAGCCTTATGTTTAATATTAATGGTTTTAAAATAATTATGTGTCTACTGTACATGTCATTTCCTCATATTAATTTTGTTACTATATTATTTAACCATAGTAATATTTGTAGAGTAGTTCTTAAAACTTCTTTACTTTTAAGCCTATACTTTGAGATATAATTTATATGCTCCTGTAGTCACAATCGCGCAACCCCACAATTTGCGCATCACGACTCTAGACGAACACATTTTGCCTTTGAGAACGACATTTTGATATTGTGAGTAGCAGGTAGAGCATTTCGCGCCTTTTCTCTATTCTCGCTGGTCGCTTCCGGTGCAAGCATGTAACTGTTTGTTTGCCACACTGCTCACTGCACTGTTCCTCGCTTTCGGCGTGCACGCAACCTAGGATTTCCACGGTGGGTAGATAGAAGGTGCTGGCAGAAGGTAAAGGGGAGGAGGTGTTTCATCATATATAATTAAAGGAACTGAAGACAGAAATATTCAGTGAAATCATCAAGACGTATTATACTCAACCTTCAAAGACTTGTCTTCTTAACCCTTAAATTACTGACTTGTTTTTACACCGTACATTACCAGTGGGGTCCATATATGTCATCAAATCGAGTAACTGTATGCCCTCATCCGCTCCCCTAGTTACAGAATTGACGAAAAATAAATAGGGAACCCTTGCACGAGCATTATAAAGAAATTAACAAGCAATGCGTGTGCCATTGTGATTATTCACGCAGTGTCATCTTTTTTATATACTTCCAGTTACCTCTGATGAACTTTTCGTGTTAGAAATTGAACCATGGTCTCTTAGTGTCCCTGCAGGAGTTTTGGCATCTTTCCTTTGCTCTATGCAAGTCAGTACTCGGGTCACTGGCGTTTCCTTTTCCTGGTCCTTTAACGACAAGCTACTCGTGTCTTCCCCGAACGTTTCCATCAACGATAAAACAAATTTATTTAATTTATCTTCATCTCCGAGCAAACTCAGGTATGAAAGCGTTCTCTCGATATTCAAGACTACAGGAGCATCTGAAGGAGAATACGGATGCGAGGCGACCTTAGAAGGAAGGACTTATACTAAAAAGGCTAAATTGTACGTTTTTGGTGAGTTGAGAATGAATAATACAGTTTAGTTTTAAATCTTAAACCGGGAAATAAGTATGGGCTTACACAAGAAGACGTTGATTGAAATACAATTAAATCTAGTAGGATAATAGAAACGAAATTTCATAGACGTGTATATATATTTTGTTTAGAAGGCATAATAAAGCAGTACTGTTGAAAGTGATTAATTAGTAAATACTTCCCATGTCAACACTTTTGTCATCACACTAACTTCAACGTCAACACTTATCATTACATTGACTTCATATTTTCCATATTAACCCTTTTGTCATTACATTAACTTCATCCACTTTTCATGTCAACGCTTTGTCATTTCATTAACTTCATCCACTTTCACGTCAACGCTTTGTCATTTCATTAACTTCATCTACTTCCCATGTCAACATTTTTGTCATTACATTAATTTCAACACCTTCAACGTCAACACTTATCAGTACATTGACTTCATATTTTCCATATTAAGCCTTTCGTCATTACATTAACTTCATACACTTCCCACATTAACACTTTGTTATTACATTAACTTCATCCACTTCCCACGTCAACACTTTGTCATTACAATAACTTATCCACTTCTCATGTGAATGCTTTTTTCATTAGATTAAACCCATACGGTTTCACACCTTGTCGATCATATATAGATTCCAGCAAAACTGCTGGACTAAGTTTGCACGTAACAGACGACAGACGGACTTTATTTTTCATTTTTAAGCCAGCCATGACCTTTGAACTGAACCCCATCAGTCAATACTTCAACACCACTTAAGTGGACTGACATCACCACTAAGATTTTGGGTCATTTGAGAGAAACTGACATACTGTTAACAATTTGTTTTAATATCTTTTTTTTAAATAAATAAACTTAGTATTCCGAAAATTGTTCAGTCTCGATGTCTAAGTTCAAGGGAGGTCCAGTTCAATCTACACTTGGATCAATGTGTGTTATTGAGTTATACTAGTTTCAAAGAATTCCACTCCTCATCAGTAACCCCGAACAGAAGTTAACCAAAGAAAGACAAGCCGGACCTATATCATAGTGAAAATATACCTGCTATTAATTATACCTACTATTGTGCGACTATACAATGTGAAGAACTGAATAGTGGCCAAAGACACATTTTCTTCACTTCACCTATCTAGTGTATATATTTTTCTCATAGTAACTGTAAAGCACGTTCACACCAACAATATGTTTGATCTTTTTTTTTAGTTGAAACTTCTAAATAATAGTTTTAAGTAATTTTGTTGTAGATTTATTCAAACGTTATTAAAGTATAAAAAACACACACTAAATATTTACGTTTATAATCATGCACAAGTTTCTAATTATCTACACGTACAACCGAAAATGCTCAAAATTGGAGCACTGTGAGACGATATATCAAACATACGTCATACGTTGCAACTAGGTATTATGAAATTATCCAGAAAGTTCATTAAAAAGACTATTTTACAGTTAATGGTATACTAAAATATTAATATTATTTCTCTACAGCTAGGCACTACAGTGTTTGCCAAAAGGTTCATCAAATAAATCAACGCTACTGCGTTATATAGCTAAGCATTACAGTGTTTGCTGAAAATTCACGAAAAAAATGTCAACATATATACTATAGTTTTTATGTCCTGTAGTGTTAAATCATCCTGTTCAACACATTTCAAGTCTGTAATGTTCAATAACTTAGGTCATCCTATTTACCACATCTTAAGTCTGTAATGTCCAGTAACTTAGATCACTCTGTTTAACACATTTCCAGTCTGTAATGTCCAGTAACTAAGATCACCCTGTTTAACACATTTCCAATCTGTAATGTCCAGTGATTTATCGTATAGTGTGCAGTAAATTTTTGTCCTAATTAATAAGAAAAAAATCAACGTGCCCGTGTATAGTGCGCAGAGCAATTCTAACAACTGATTGGCCTTCAGGTAGCAGTGGTGTATTGTTGTGTTGATTAGTAACTGTACGTGCACGTGTGAGTGAATACCATTGTCAACTAATTAACCGTATTACTTAATGAACAAACAAAGGCTGTACTTATGATCACCTGTTATTCGTGTATACATGTTTTAAACAATGCCCTGTACATAAAGTATTAGAGTGACTACAATTGAACATTACTGTGAATGTATTCTAGCATAGGATAGTAAAGTCATCTTACAACCCAGCGCAAAAAAAAACTTCTCTGTTGTGGTTCTATTTTTTACTTCTAGTGATCCGACAACGACAAACGATGATTATGTCAAATTACAAGACGTATTGAGGCAACATCCGGACTGAAAAATTCACCTGAAAAAATACAATTTCTTGGTACAGTGCGCACTTCTTATTTGAGCCCAAAAGTGCGCACTATACGCGAGAATTTACGGTGGATCATCCTGCTTAACACATTTCAAGTCCCTAATCTGCTGTCTTTTTAGATCATCTTGTATAACACACTTCAAGCATATAATATTCTTTTGTTTAGATCATCTTGTATAACACACTTCAAGCATAAAATATCCTTTTGTTTAGATCATCTTGTATAACATACTTCAAGTATATAATATTGTTACGTCTCCGATTGTTAATTAACTTTCCGTAACTTCGTTCCGACGAAACTTAAGCGACACAAGTCCTTTCTTAATAAAACTGGTTTATTATTTCCGAATATAACTTTACCGATACACTCAACTTCAACAATCGCGCTAAACAAACGCTGTAACGTCTCTCGTGCTCTCCGACTGCAGTTCAATTACTCACTATCTACACACACATTACATTCCCCTCTTTTATATACCAGCCTACCCTATATCTAGTAAGAACTAGAACATTCGCCAAAGTACAGGATAATTCTAGAAAGTAAAGAGCGTGAGAATCACATGATCTCGATGACGCAACAATATCTTTTATTTAGATCATCTTGTATAACACACTTCAAGTCTATAAAATCTTTTACTTAAATAATCTTGTATAACATATTTCAAGCATATAATTTATTTTATTTAGATCATCTTGTATAACATACTTCAAGCATATAATATCTTTTATTTAGATCATCTTGTATAACATACTTCAAGCATATAATATCTTTTATTTAGATCATCTTGTATAACATACTTCAAGTATATAATATATTTTGTTTAGATCATCTTGTATAACACACTTCAAGTGTATAATATTATTTTATTTAGATGTTCTTGTATAACACACTTAAGTCTATAATATCCTTTTATTTAGATGTTCTTGCATAACACACTTAAGTCTATAATATCCTTTTATTTAGATGTTCTTGCATAACACACTTCAAGTCTATAATGTCCTTTTATTTAGATGTTCTTGCATAACACACTTCAAGTCTATAATGTCCTTTTATTTAGATGTTCTTGTATAACACACTTCAAATCTATAATATCCTTTTATTTAGAAGTTCTTGCATAACACACTTCAAGTCTACAATATCCTTTTATTTAGATGTTCTTGCATAACACACTTAAGTCTATAATATCCTTTTATTTAGATGTTCTTGCATAACACACTTCAAGTCTATAATATCCTTTTATTTAGATGTTCTTGCATAACACACTTAAGTCTGTAATATCCTTTTATTTAGATGTTCTTGCATAACACACTTCAAGTCTATAATATCCTTTTATTTAGATGTTCTTGCATAACACACTTCAAGTCTTTTAATGTCCTTTTATTTAGATGTTCTTGCATAACACACTTCAAGTCTATAATGTCTTGGAATTTTATGCAATCCTATGTAAATAATACAGCATTTTTAGTTCCCTTTCACAAAAATCAGTTTTAACCAAGGCTTTTGTTTCTAGTCAACTTTCACGAAACCTGCCAACGAGATGACCAATGTGGATGGATAACAGGTGGGGACTTACCTTTGCAGTGTTTATCAGAGAGATGTGCCTGCCCGATCGGCTACGTATTTGTACAACGATCTTATGTTAAACCTGGTTGCTATAGGGAAGGTAAGAAGTTACGATGGGGTGATAATAATTAATGTTACCGTCTTCTTATTTATAGATATAGATACAAATAAATTAATCAACTCTAGTTTACAATAAAATGTGATATTGTTAGAGTGGTGAAAATTGTCAGTTTCGCTATAAAGGTTGCCTTGTGATATGGTTACAATGGGAAAAAAAGTGATAGATGTCGCCCAAGAAATTCCCACTTTTACTGGAAGTTTGTACTTACAATAATATTAATGAATCGTTTTTCATACCATTATTATTTGACCTGTGACACCTTTCTTAAATTATTTTATAGCAGCCATATAAAGATTAGTACATGCGCGTCAAAGTTTTATAATTCCTGCTTCGATACCTTACCGATTTATGGACAGCTACAGCATTCAAAAGACACACGGAGAGGAAGGGGGGGTAAATATAGAAGGATAAATCCCTACCTCCGAAATTAACGTCTCATATTACCGACCTCTTTGTACAGCGTTCACTACCAGCGGGTTTCACATATTGGATCGTGTTGAATAATTTTATGTGTTTGCTTGTTACAACACCCAATTTAAAGAATTGATAAGAATATGATGAAATAACTCACTTTCTATGTAAAATAATTGTAGGGGGCGCCAACTGTAATTAGTTGTATTAATTGCAATATTGATGACATGTTCTTGTGACTCATGTGTTATTAGAGACCTTGAAGCCAACAAAGTCATGTCTCACAAGTATCAGTAACACTAGGGATAAGATTTGGAATCCAATAATTCAATTTGTGGACACTCACAGAATCTTTCTGAACGAATATCACACAAAACTTTAGACATTTTGACAATGAAGATAAAAATGATACTTTTTATCATATAAGCTATATTTACATACCTGCAAACAGTTTGGTTAAAAAAAACTTCTAAATTTTGTGTATTTTAAGAATACTGACTAATATTGAAATTCTCATAACAATTACACATTTCTGCAAGTTTTAAATCTAAATGCGTTATATTAATTTCATATTGTTTAACGTATGTTTATATAGAAACATATCAGTCCCTACGAACTTCTTAGTATATAACATACTGAAAGTGTTTGATATCTATTTTCAATACAATATTTTGTTATAGTCCACTATAGTCTGCTTTATGTTTATGTATATAGACCGTTAATTTCGTGTTCTTGCTATTATTAAATGTCACACACATACAATATAAAAACCCGTCGTTAGTGCAATCATGGGTAGGTGGTTAAATAAAGAAGGATAAATCCCTACCTCCGAAAAAATTGTACCTGATTAAAAGAGAAAATAATTTCATTAAATGGCAAGCACTTCCTCTCAACCCCCCACCCAAATAGCGACCTTTGTACGCATTCGTCCAATGTTAAACGTTGAATTGGTTCTTTGGAGTCCTTTGCCATTTCCCCATCTCTAACTTCCAACCTGGCTATGCCATTAAAAACGATGAGGTTAATTTAACCTAAAGAGTGGTTATCCATATTTAGCTCTCTCTCATAACTCAAGACAAACATGTGCATTGCAATTTTGGCAACAGTTGTTTTTTTGTTTCATATATACTGTTCTAAGCTATATTTTTAATGTCGTAATTTGTTTGAGGGAGCTGCGGGTCAAGATGGCGTCAAGATTGAAAGTTTAATAAGATAGGCTTAGAATACTTAGAAAGTTCTAAAAAAATTGACGTCAATTTTTTTTAGTAAATTCGAGGGCAGATTATAAATACAAGATAGTTGTGAAGATATTCGAGTCATTCCTAGCCTCTACATCGAATCATTCAGTGTGTATTTTGTTGTTGTTTTAACCATGAAGTGGTACAAGTAAATTTATTTTTTACATTAGCGTAGTGTAGTTAACGTCATTTGTAAACGTGGCCTACAACTGTGTACAATGGAGGCAGTTTGCAAAAACGTTAAGGAAGAAATAACATATTTTTTTATCGTTTGTGGGACTTGGTTTAGAATTATTTTCACCTGATAACCTAAAATAACCCACTACGAAACAACAAAGTTATAACAGTACGTAAAGAGACAATATGCGTTTACATTTCCATGAATATATGACCTGTAGAAGTATAAGGGCATATTACATCAGGTTTGTCGTTGGGGTTGGTTGATGGACCACAACTGTTAATCTCTTATATTTCTATATAGCCTAAGAAACTATATTTACAGTTAATAATTAAATATATGTTATTCTAAAACTAGAAAAGATATAATCACGTGAATTCATTCAAAATACCAAGAAAATGTAGATCTTGTAACAGAGACTACAATAGACTCGTACCATTTTTTTTTCGTCAGATAAGACGCTGACAATTTTGACAATCAACGTAGAGAACAGTAGTCTACTGTTGGCTCAAATAACTAGGGACAGATTTTATTCTAACCTGGTCAAGTGTGTGTTTCTTAAATTAAAATACTTGTCAATATTCAATTATTTAAGAATTAATCGCCCTCAGTGGCTCAGGGGTAAGCATAAGTGTTGATACCTCAAGGATTGAATGTCCAATCTCCGCGATGGACGCAGTACAAATAACCCCTTGTGAAGCAATTTGCTAAAATTAAAACGTTAAATACTCATCATATTTCGTGATTAAACTATTTAACCATTGTTAACAGAATTAATAAAAAAAATAAGGAAAAATTATCCTATTTGTTATTGGCTCTGACGTAAGAGAGCGTAGTTACAAACATGTAGTGTGTCCATAAAACACAGATGTCGCTAATCATGGTTTTCTATTCTGGTTGTTTGTTTATAGTTAAGCATAAAGCCACACAATAGTTTATCTGTGCTCTGCCCACCCAGTTTCTAGCGTTGTAAGTTCGCAGACATACCGCTGTTCCACTGGGGGGCTTTTCTATTCTGATTTTTCAAGACACCAGCTGGGAATTTGGGGCACTGCTAAATAGAACTGGGGCACGGGCCCCGTGTGCCAGCACCTAGCAACGCCTCTGTCATGAAATATAAAAATCGTTGAGTTGATCGTCAAGTGCATTTGTATTAATACAAATACCCATTTGTCACCTTTGTAAGGTAAATACTCTTTGTATTTTTTCAGAAGAACTAGCTTTTGAGATTGAAATAAATACGCGCACACGCAGGCTTGAAAAATTGTCACAAATATTTAAGTGCTTTTTTTAAAAATTAAAGTTACAAATAAATTCACCAACTCCGGATGTAGCGTCAACTTACGTTCTTATTGTTGTTTCTTTTAGCGCAGAGATATATAATGGACTATCTAGACTCTTTTCACCACGAGGAATCAAACCTCAGGTTTTAGCGTTATAAGTCCTAACCTTACCGTTGACCCCCCAGGGGCCATAATGCCGACTAGGATTACTTTAGAAAAATCCTAAAATTTATCTAAAAACTTGAACGAACACTTTAGAGACCAAAAAGGTTTTATAGTCAAAAAATGCGTTTTTGTTTTGTTTTTCTATGTCCTGTAGCAATGCTGTTTGGAAACTGCCAAGTGAACGAGCAGTGCAAGATGCCTAATACTCTGTGTTCTGGTAATGGCAAGTGTTTGTGTGATTACCAGTATTATTTCCGTTACGGAGAAGGCTGTGTTAAAAGTAGGTATTAGTTTCCTTTCGTTATTACTTAGAACGAAACATCAACTTAACGAACTGAATGTCTAACGTTTATGCTGGATGATTATAATAAAGCAAGTTTTTGGGTCATATCTCACAAACGGTATGGCATACGGATGTTAAGAGTAAGTATGGTGCGGTTTCATAGCTGACTGAGTTATTGGACCGTATCTTTTTTGAAAAACCAATTGCACATGGACTGCAAGCCTGCACATTCAATGTTGAACGGTCCCATGTAATGCTCACATCTAATGTGATTCCCATGCTTCAGCAACAAAATGTGATAGACACTATGGTTTTCATGCAGTATGGTGTCTTCCGCAATTTGTAACGAGGTAAAAACACGTCCTTCAGGAGTACTTTAAGGACAGAACCATTCATTGTCACTTTAAGGACAGAACCATTCATTGTCACTTCAAGGACAGAACCATTCATTGTCACTTCAAGGACAGAACCATTCATTGTCACTTTAAGGACAGAACCATTCATTGTCACTTTAAGGACAGAATCCTTCCTTGTCACTTTAAGGACAGAACCATTCATTGTCACTTTAAGGACAGAACCATTCATTGTCACTTTAAGGACAGAATCCTTCCTTGTCACTTTCCTTATGAATGGCCACCTATTTCACCGATTGCTGGACCTGGGGATACCCGAAGTCAAGTACGTACCGTGGAAAGCTTCACACACTTCCTCCCCCCTCCAAAGATGCAATTGTCCCGGTAGTGACCAGTATACCAGATGATATTCCCATTTTTGATGTAATGTCTGTTGTCACACGAATGAAATGCATTCTAGACGCTGGAGGATCACATTTTGAACAGTTGATGTGATTGATCAGACATTATATCACAGTGGCGCCTCTGGCAGTAACATGTGGCAATTGTGATATTTGCATCCGTATTATATCCTTGGCATCCCTATGCAATCTCACCTTCCTATGCCAGACGATTTGTGAGAGAGGACGCACTGAACTATGAAACTTACATTATAATATATTGTACTTAAAGCAAATCAACTGTAAACCCAGTGAAAAAAATTCCTTATCTGTTGGAAATTGAAATAAAAAGTATTAATAAAGGTTATTATTATTAAGATAATTAAGAAAATAACATTCTTTAAATTGAATACCTCGTTTATCCAATCAAATAATATGTTAATATGACTGTTTTAGAAGATAAAAAAATACCACAGAATTGTTATTTTATTGTATAGGTTCGCTTGATTCCAAAGCAAAGGAGGTGTATACAGCTGCCATGATCTCCGCAGCTTGTCTTATGATCGCAGTCTTTGGAATAATTCTCACATACATAATACGACGGTGTGTATCTTCTCATTAAGACAGTGTTTACTTATCATAAAATTAGATTAAGATATTAACTGGAAACAAACACAGGGTTACGATGATGGGTTAAAAATGTAACTAAAATACTCCTAATTGTTTTCTTTGTCAAAATTCTAGTAATTAATCGTTTGATTACTGATCACCATATTCCTGTAACTTATAAAGGCAATTTAACAAACGGGTTAGATAACATTTTTCACAAGCAAGTGTGCACATATATATATATTACTCACTCTGTGTCTTCTTTGTTATAATCACCGTGTTAAAAGTCTTGTCTTATGACACTTAACACCTTGTTTTGTTTGTTTGTTGTTAAACACAAAGCTACGCAAGTAACTATGTGTGCTATGCTCACCACAGGTATCGAAACCCGATTTTTAGTTTCATAAGTCCATTTAAAACTAGATCGAAATCCTCAGGTAGGGTTGTCAGTTCATAGAACTTGTAAAACCCTATCTAGTCTTACAAATATTTCCCAACACATCATGATCCTCTGAGTAGACTTAAGAAAGTAAAACTTTTAAAGCAGAAAAATGAGAGACACGCCCAAACCTCTTGACTATAATAACCAAGTATAAAACAAAATTAACCAGAGACAAACTCTACCAGTTCTTTATCCCGGAAGAATCAATTTTTGTTTTGGAATCATTCTGATACCACAAGAAGTGAGGGAATTATAACTTACGTCGTGTAACCATATATTCTTTTCAGGGGGTGTGCTTGCTATTCTATGTTTATCGACGTGTAATAAATATGATTTTACTGTAGCCAATAAGTCAGTAAATATATATAAGAGAAAAAAAATCGTTCACATTTGCTGGCATGATATATATACACAAAAGATATTTGAAATAATCCAAAAGACAATGTATTTATAGGAAAGGTGTTAAAACCACTCCTAGTGCAAATAAAGCTAAAACATGTAAGTGTATATAATGTAAGTTCATACGTTTATTACCTTTACATGCTGTAATTTATATTCATGTTGTTGTTTGAAAAAGAGCCAGAAAATGGTATTTCTGATAGTCGTGATTTTCAAAATTTTTGGGTGGCATACCCCTCGGAATTTTTTAGGGGAATCATACCTAAACACACAATGTCGGGCACTGACAGGGTTACCAGTCTTCTTTAGTAGTAGCACCACCCACTCGCTCGTCAGTAGTACAGGCGGTATGTCTGCGGACTTGCAACGCTAGGAACCGGATTTCGATACCCGTGGTGGGCAGAGCTCAGATAGTCCATTTTGTAGCTTTGTGCTTAACTTCAAGTACACACACGCACCACCCACTCTTTAAAAATAATTAAAACCCTGTTATCGGTATTCTAATCAAGTGAACCAACGGAAGTTAAGGGCAGATGAAGGGATATGGGCTCATACACATAGATCAACAAATGATATTAGGGTTTATATTACTAAATAATACCACATTAGGATGTTATGAAAAAGGAGATGACGTCATGGGAATGAGCTAACAGGGATATTGTTCGATAGGTATATTCTAAGGAACGGACAATGAACGTGGTTTTATTCATTGTTTATTCGTTTTAGTTAACCTTCATTTGTGTATATATATAAGCGAAAACATTTATTCAGTAAGTAGCCGAAAATCTAAAAGGATTACACTATATGGTCTGTTTTGCTTTTCATATTTTCTTTTTTTTTTTCAACTTCAGTCATTACGAAAACAAGAATAAAGAGCCTGAATACATTTTAAGAAAAATTTACTAAGTTGGAAAACACGATAAATTTCCTTGGATCTGAAAGTTTGTTTGTTGAAAACTACAAACCTACACAATGGGCTATCTGTGCTCTGCCCACAGCGAATTTTTAGCGTTATTATAAGCCCACTAATTTACCGCTGAACCACCGGGGAGAGGGGGTTATAGACAGTTCAGATCCGAAAGAATGAATTCAAATAATTGAAATTTGTTTGTTTGTTTTGAATTTCGCGCAAAGCTACACGATGGCTATATGCGCTAGCCCTCCCTAATTTAGCAGTGTAAGACTAGAGGGAAGGCAGCTAGTCATCATCACCCACCGCCAACTCTTGGGCTACTCTTTTACCAACGAATAGTGGGATTGACCGTCACATTATAACACCCCCACGGCTGAAAGGGCTAGCATGTTTGGTGGGACGGGGATTCGAACCTGCGACCTGCAGATTGCGAGTCGTGCTCCCTAACCACCTGGCCATGCCGGGCCTTGAAATTTGTTTCCAAACCTTCTTAGTGGGGAGTCAGTATGATGTCAAATGATAAAAAAAGTATACAGTGTTTCATTAAAATAGTTACTATTTTGTTAATTCACTCTAAATTTGATGAAAAAGTAAGTTATTATATGTCGAAGGTATGACATTTTCTGGTAATTTTGAACGTTTCTATTGATTGAAACTTTGAAGAAATAAATTGAAAGTTCTTGAAATGACACTTAACAAAGATTCTTTGACTGGGCTGAATCAATCAAACATTGATTCTGAGGCAATCTACCATAAAACTCATGGATTTGCTGCAAATCTACACCATATAATTCACTTAGCCCTTACCTTTGCCCCCCCCCAGTGGCATAGCAGTATGTCTGCGGACTTAGACTTACAACGCAAGAATCTGGGTTTCGATACTCGTGGTGGGCAGAGCACAGATAGCCCATTGTGTAGCTTTGTGTTTAATTCCAAATAAACAAACCCTTACCTTTGTACATGAACATGGTTTCAGACACTTCCCTGCCGTATATTAACAGATAATTAATTTATTTCTGCATATTTTAGTTTAGGGGACTTTGTCATTAACACAGAGATAAGCTTCCTACTCATTCTTTGTTTTCCGAATTCTTTTGAGTTGGTTGCTTCCGGTTGGAAAGGTGAAATTGCTTGCACATAAGGATCTGATTCAGGGCCCAAGGACAAGTTGCTTAAGAGAGTCTTCTGTCAGGATACTACATCTACGATCACTTTATTTGTTTGGTGCAAACAAATGGGCACGGGAATGGTCCAACGATCCTTGGAAGAATAAAAAAATACCATTCCGACGTTAACATTATCTTCTCTGTTTCCTCGTGAGTTGCCCAGCATGGCCAGGTGGTTAAGGCGCTCGACTCGCAGTCTGCGGGTTCGAATCCCCGTCACACCAAACATGCTCGGCCTTTCAGCCGTGGGGGCGTTATAATGTTACGGTCAATCCCACTATTCGTTGGTAAAAAGAGTAGCCCAAGAGTCAAAATCCAAGTAATAAGAGCACCCCCCCCCCCCCAAGGTCTGTTAATTTGGTAAGTTTAATACCAAATACCCACTTTTAAAAATATATTGTACATCACTCCAAAGAGTTGCGAAGTATGAAAATTTGCCACTAAATCCGACAAAGCAAGCCTCTCAGTTTTTTTATTAGGAATTTGTTTGAAAAGTATACCACGTTGTCTCGTGGTCTTAGCAATGTGTATTCTTGTTCACAGAGTAAACCACAATCACATAGTTTGGTCTACAAGCTGAACCCTCTGTTGGCTCAGCGGTAAGTCTGAGAGCCCATAACGCTAAAAATTGGGTTTCGATACTCGTGGTTGGCACAGTACATATAGTTCATTGTGATGCTTTGTGCTTAATAACAAACAATTCAAGCTGAATTTATTTAAAGACATAAATAGTAAACATGAAACTCGATCTTGTATTACTTTCTTTTCATATATACTAAACGACCCACTACATTTACGTATGTGTGTGTGTGTGTTATCTATTTTATACTGTATATATATATATATAAATAATTCATTACTGCATAAAGTTTTAGTTCCCAGCGTTGTGATTACATTTTTCTATATCATTAGTACTTAAGGTACAAGTTTTCATTTACCTTGCGGGGAAGAGGGCAAAGGGGACAGTTGCCCTCCCCCTCCATAAAAGTCATCAAGGGGCTTTCAAATTCTAGTCAAAATAGAAAAATGTATACACAAGGTTAAGTAGTAGAAAACGTGACTGTCTATTCATGCCTATGTCTGCTGAGTTATTAACTAGCATCCAGGGCCCCAAAAGTACCCCCCCACACACACACACACAAACACCAGCAATGAGATTTTAAACTTCTTTAATTTATTACGCGTGTTACATATGAAATGTATTTGTTGCTTTTTTATCGACTGATTTCTAATTCATTTTTCTCAGGTCCTTCTCTAATCGTAACACTAATACAGAACAAGGCAACGGTCAAGTTAATGATGTTTTTACCATCAGTGATGAACTGGGTGCCATCCGGGCACTTGACAAACCTCCTACTTACGATGAAGTGGTAAAACGAGAAAGAGAGGTAAAATATCAAGTCCTTTCATAACTTTAGTTATCCCCTCCCCCCTTCCTGTCTTAGATTTTGTGAGGAAAGACTTTTATGTCAATAGAACACAATATGAAAACGTTATGATAACCAATGTTAACGTCCTATGAAAACGTAACGGTGGTTAAAATCAACTATATCAATGAGATCATACTATTAAAATGTTAAGGTGGATAAAACTACACGATATTGGTGTGAATAAACTCTGAAAAATGTTAAGGTGGATAAAACTACACGATACTGGTGTGAATAAACTCTGAAAAATGTTAAGGTGGATAAAGCCACACGATACTGGTGTGAATAAACTCTGAAAATGTCATTTTAGGTAAAGTCACACGATATTTTTGTGAACAAACTCTGAAATGTTAAAGTGGATAAAACCACACGATATCCGTGAGAACACACACTGTGAACATGTCAAATTTTAACAATATAGGAACTATCTTTAACTTGAAGAAGCTAACTGTTTTATACTTTTTATCCGATTTTAGGACAAAAACCATCATTACATGTTGTCATTATTTCCTGTAAATGTCTGTTGTTAGGTGATTAAAATGAGCCCCACAGTTAGCTAGAACGTATAAAAAATGTGTTAATTGTTTTCTGTGCATTTTTAATAAACAGGTTTTGGGAATCCCGCCACCCGAATATACAGACACTATGGCTGCCTGTCAAAATGCCCCATCATTGGAATCATGCAGCAACTTAGAAACTCAGCCAAGTAATAATGCCAACAACAGCACCATAACAACGGAATTGGAGGTCTCCATAGCAACCATCGGGAATCAAGACTCGGACTCAATTTTAGAATCAACTAACCTCGAAGGAGAATCAGCAAATAATGTTACCCACATGTCACCAATACCCTTTCCAATATCACCATATGGTGAATCAGACAAGCAACAACAGGAACACACCAATCTAGTTACAAGTGCCACGGACGAGATCTCTAAAGACAACGTATTTGATGCTGGAGAGGGCACTACGTCAATGCCCTCTACCAGCTACGAAAAGTATTACGACAATCCTATATTCCATTCAGAGTGAAAAAAAAAAAAAGCGTATAAATATTGATGAAAACCGTTGAAATTGATGTATTTGTGATTTTGTGGGCCTTAATATATTAATTATTTTTAATTTAGAAATAACAAACACAAGTGTATGATCGAAGTTTTACGGAATTTTTGTACAAAAGAAAATTTATATCGCTATCTTTATTACATTTCACAAACTTATAAAGTTTGTTTCTGTTTGTAATTAAGCACAAAGCTACACAATGGGCTATCTGTGCTCTGCCCAACACGGGTATCGAAACCCGGTTTCTAGCGTTGTAAGACCAAAGACATACCGCTGTGCCACTGGGGGCTCACAAGCGTATAAAAAAGTTTAGAATAGTCCGTTTAATGTTCATAAAATAACTAAACCTACAAAAAAAAACAGTTTGAAACAAGATGCGCTTGTATTTCTCTTGAAAAGAATCAACCAATAAAAATCTGTATCATAGCAGAAAAAATCGTATACTATGTATGAATTCATAAACTTAGTTATTAAAGCTCATGATAAAGAATGTACTTGAACAGTTGTGTGAGTGAACTTGATAGCAGATATTTTCCTAAGTGCATCAGAAACAAAATTTGTAAGTCTGTGGGAGGCAGAAAATAGGTGGAGGGAGGGTGTACTCACCCTGAATTTTTTACAGCTAGAGTGGCAATTTGGGCCTATTTTGACACCCTGAGGCCACGATATAATGGAAAGCAAAGAGAGAGAGAGAAAAACACAAACGAAATTAATGTAAAAATAAACGGTTTTATGATCAGCTATCTTACTTTTTACCCAAACTTCGTTACTTTATATTTCCAATTATTTGCAGTCAGCTTCCAAATTGTTTTTCACATTTTGATACGATTATATCATGACGTTATTTTGAATCAAAATGTGGAAAACTTTACCTTATGGAAATTTATGGGAGGACGGAAATAGGTGCTTGACTTTCTTGTAACTGGGAGGAGGGGGCTGACCCCCTGTTCTCAACCCTATGAAACAGCTATATAAGTTTAGCTTTGTTGTTTTTTGTTCCTGAAAACAAACTGATACATAAGGTTAATGAGTTAGTTTAAGATTTGCATTCACGAAAATTAATAAAATTAATTAACCTTAACGTCGTTAGTGTTTGTGTGTTTTCTTATAGCAAAGCCACATCGGGCTATCTGATGTGTCCACCGAAAGGATTCGAAACCCTGATTTTAGGGTTGTAAATCCGAAGACTTACCGGTGTCCCACCTGGAGGGGGGGGGGGGCGTTAATATAGCAGTAAATTTTAAAATGAATAGCGTAATAAGTTTTTCGAGTTATTTCCGTCGTGCTCAAAAGAAAAATGTTTGGAAGTTGTAAACGTCGAGCCGTCTGTTTTTTGATGTGATGTTACGAGATCATTTGTAATTTCATAACCTTCGCTTTTCAGTAAAACATTGCTAGTGGTGAGGTAGAGTGAACGTTCCTTCTATCAATAGAATCATCATAGCTGAACGTTTGTTTGTTTGTTTTGAATTTCGCGCAAAGTTACACGAGGGCT